ATGTTTTGGGTTTTTCCTGGAGGTGATCCAGCAGTAAGAGAGCAGCTTTTATAGGTTCAGACATGGTGGTCCCTGACCAGAGCTATTCAGAGCAGAGGGGTCTCTCACAGACAGCTCCCATGCATGGCTCCTGGCCACCCTGAGGGGTCTGTGGGATCTCATTTCTGTGCCTCTGCATCCTGAGAGATTTGCATGGGAAGGACACCCTCTGCATCCTTGATGCTCTGAATGCCTCACTGTTCCTAATGCACCCCATGTGGGGTAGGAGCAGGGTGGAGGAATAGAAACGGGGCAGAGGGGCTCAACTCTGTGCCTGGATTTGGCCCTGGGGCTAAACTGTGTCCCCAGCATGGGGACAGATCTGGGAGGGTGTTTTGTGTGGCACACAAACAAAAGCCAGGCAGCAGGCAGAAGGCTGTCCAGCAACTCAGGTAGGCTGGGTGAAAAACAGGCTTATTTTTTGCTCTTATTCTCTCAGAAGTGAACAGGGATCATGCACATCTATGTAGTGCCAGTAGCAGATCTCTCCTTACTGAAGTGGAGTTTGCTGCCATTGTGAAAATAATCAGTTAACAAGTATCGCAACTGACAATGCACCTTTACATCGCATCAGCCACAAATACCTGCCACTGGTCCATACAATGAAAACCCATCAGAAGTGATAGGAAGGAGCAAAGTTATTATTAGGATAGAATAGCTCAATGTTCACAGAATATTCAATGAGGGATCAACTTCTCAAGAGGAGTTAATAAGAAGCCATACTTGAATATCTGATGTTTATAGAGGGGAGAAATGTACACGGAAAAGTACATTAGGGCTAAAAACCTACTTGATGTGGCCGAAACAAAACCTAGCCTTCATCTCTTATGTAGAAGCAAGTCTACCAGGGCCCAGAAAGAAAGATATGTCTTTGAGGAGTGATCTGAAAGATAAGTAATATGTCAAAGGAAAGAAAATGCAGTTTCTGCTCTTTGGGGAAAGAGGGCAAAAGAGGAAAGGGAAAAAAAACCCACATTAAAACTCCTCAGTTGTTTTTTTTTTGTATGTGTTTTTTTTCCTATTTTTTTTTTTCCCTAGCTGTAGCTATAGCCTCTTTCCTTTGATTTGTCATGATTTAAATTCATACAAAAAGATTTATTTCAAATAAGCCCCTTTAACTGTAGGGGCAGATATTTTTTTTCTCCTAAAGCCTTTTGTAAGAACAAAGTAACCACTTGTCACACACAGTGACTAATGAGAGTTTAGTGTAGGTTTTAGTGTTCATTCATACGCTTTGTGTTCAGCTAGTCGTAAGTTAAATCTTTAGAAATCACACCGCAGGAATCCTTCTCTTAGGAGTGGGGGCGGGAGGCGAATCTGTCGAGATATTGAGAGCTGGTGAGCGGAAACTGCTCTTTTCAGGCTTCCTAATCGGCGGCACAGGAAATAAACACATGCAGGAAATCGTTTGGCCTTTTCTTGAACTTAAAGTTTATACAGCAATTGATAACTGAGTCAAACTTTGTGTACTTAAACTTTTGAAAATTAAATTAAATGAAGAGGGCATGTTCAGCCCATGCCAGCATGGCCTGTAATTTCTGCAAGCAGCTGCTCTAAATACGCTATTAAAAATTGGAAAGACTACAGCATATATATTTTTACAGCTAGAATGTGTCCTTGAAACCTTTTTGTATGTCTTTTCTCTGCTCTCTTTTCCTTCCATTTCTCTAATTCTCTCTCAATGAAACTGAGCTGAAGCATTGAAAGCAAACTGAAAGTCATGTTTATGAAGCTGTTTTCCATGCTTCTACACCAGACTCTGCTCTTTCATCCTTTAGCTGACCTTCTCATTTATCTTGTAAGCACTTCAGGGTAAGAATGGTTTTGGGTCATATGAAACACCTTGTTTGATGGTGGCCCATATTGATATTTGGTTAATGCTACACATTTGTTGTATAAAAGTTGTCTTTGCAAGAAGGGTAAAAATAAATGAAGTGTCATTCTTGAGTATAGCTTTTGAAATTGATAGCATCAATTTGTTAACAGGGACATTTATAAGCATTTCTAAGAAATATTATTTGTGTTCATATTTCTCGAGCTTTCAGTGTATAAACAAGGTCACTGTAAATTTAATGCTCTAAAAAGGATAAGCTTAGTTTTATAATAACTACAATTAGCTGAGGTAAATTTGCATGGGAAATTTAGAACACCTTTGCCAATAAAAAGAAAGCAAGCAAAACCCAAATGAAGAGCAGAATATGGAATAAAAGGTACATTTGCATGTCTTTGAAGACCAACCTAAATACCTGCTAAAAATGCATCCACTCCTATGCATCTCCTACTCTTTTGAAAATTGATTATTTTTTGCTGTCCTAATAAACCACTCCTAACAGTGCAGATGTTTGTTAGGAATATTTTTCCTAAAATGAAGACTAGAAGCAGAATGCTACAATTAAAGTAAAATGAGACAAGAACTGAAAGAATGCATATGGCTTACATATCTGTAGTCCAGGTTACTTTCAGATTAAATAATTGAATTTTAAAAAATCAAGATTTTAGATTTTTTTTTCCTAAGTAATTAGAATGTCATGAAATTTTATAGTGTGCTTAGAAGGTTGTGTATTTGATACATAGCTTTGTGATGGCTCAGCTTTAGCTAGCCACTAGATGGGATTTCAAGTCTTCAAGAAATAGATTTAAACATTGGCCCCAAACTGCCATTTACTGTAAAATGACCATAGCTGATCAGTTGTTCAATAAATGTCAATATACTAAAAAGATATGGAGGTTTCTACAATTAATCGTGGGATTGTACCTTCTGCACATTTTCAGAACATCTCCTTACTTCTATCACTTATCGATTGTCCATTTGATTTATATCCCAGCCTGAAGTCTAACAGTCATCAGTCTAACAGTGACAGCTCTTTCACTGATATCTTTGATGGAATCCATTTTGTGCTTTCCTCAGCTCCTTACAGGAAACATTCAAGTTAGTTCCAGACCATGTGGCATTATATGTATGCACAGTGATGATTAATTATAGCTGCATTATTTGTATTCTACCCTAAAAGCTATTTTTACGTTGCATTTCTTTCTTTTTTGATAGTCCAGCTCCACAGTGAGAACGTACCAAAACAGTAAATCGAGAGTGACCATGAGCCCTGGCTTTAGCTCCCAGTGGAATAGCAGCCAACCTGCTTGGAATACATACACCTTTCCAAGAGCAAGCTTGCACTACCAGTCTCATGCTAGCTACACCTACTGTGCTGGACATCCTGCTGTAAGTAATGAAAACCTTTTCTGCAGTTACCTGAATGAGCTCTGTGATTCCCTGGGAGGTGGAGGCACTCAGGGGCTGATGGTTCAGCACCCTTCTGCAGCAGTCTTTTTGTCCTATGCCAGACAGAACAACTCACTTATACTAGCCCTAACTCTAAAAAAATATTAGAATGAGTCTTAGACATAAGCAAATGTGAAAGTTTTATGCCTCAGTAAAAATTCATTTATTTTTTTACATTTAGCATTCTTTCTCCTTGCATGAAATTATTGTTTTATGCCCGGGTTTTGGTGTCAGAAACATCGTCTGAAAAGCAGTATTATAGAGCGCCTCATTTCTGTTTCTGGTGAGCCTGTAATATGAATTATTCTTTCTATTCAGACATTTTAAATTGTGTGGATTAGTCAGAGAAGGAGAGCATCTCTTCTCATAATTAGATCTGTTTAGACTCATTACTTTATCTTTAATGTGATCAGTGGTGAACATGCAATCTTGTTGCTAAGCAAAGACTACTGGTCTTCTATAAGTGCATGAACTGGTGGCCAAAAAGAATGGGGAAGGATAGCTCAGTGTTGTTGTGTGTTTTAATTGGACAGTCATGAAAAGGTCACAACTATAGGCTTGTGGTGAGTTTTGTTGTATTGGTGTTGTTGACTGCTTATAGCAGAGCCCTTTCATTCATGTAGTTTCTGGTTTTGAAAGACCCCAAGAGATTTAATGGGGGAAAATCTCATTAGTGTAAGCAATCTTCCTTTCTTTCCCACTCCACACTTTGTTGTTTTAATGTTTGGATTTGAACTTAGCTTTGGACAGTTGGTTATAGAACTTCTTAAAAGACATAGCATCTTAACCTCCTGCCATGTGCACGTAATGAAGTTTTGCCATCCTATAGTGAATTCCAGTAAGGAAATGGGAAAGTGCAGCTTTTGGTACAGAATGGAAATTGTGATATGCAGTCTTATTGCAAGATCATTGTGATTCAATTTAGGTTTGCTATCTTACCTGCAAACAGACTTCTGGCCAGAAGTTTGCGTTAGGAATTGTCTCAAATATTAACATGGTAATTGAAATAAAGGAGAGGAATAAATTTGTAAAATCTTTTTTTTTTTCTGGGATGATGAGTTCTCAGAATAAATGAAACATCTCTATAGATTCTTCTGTTTGCTCACTTCCATTATGGTGTCATTGAAAATGATAAAAACTGTAGTGAAGAAATATAAAGTATTTGACATCACAAAGGCACAGATATTTTCCTTGTTTAGAATGACGGCTCAAAAAGAGTCCCATGACAGCTTAATTTATCTTAAACTGTGGGTATTCAAATCATTAACTGCTTCTTAACTTTGATAATTTAGAATAAACACTATCCCCTCTGTGACTCAAGGTTTGACTCTGCTTAGCAAAAGAGCATACAAGAAGAATCCTGTACTTCCTGGAAGAGAGCTTAAAATTTGAATTGAAAAGTCAGTCTTTTCAAGCCACTTCCACAGTTCTTCTTTCCTTTGTTTAGACTAAAGTTGAGGGTAGCTCCACTAGAATAATATAGTAAAATATCTATAGGTTGTACATATGCAATCTCTACAATATTTGTTTCATTGAGCATCTTAATATGTAGTCACTGGAAATGATAGCTCAGTCTGGAAGTTGATTTATCTGATTGCTGAAAAGCAGAGATTTTAGAATGTGCAGAATTGCATAAAACTTTGTGCAAGATTGGTTGATTAGCCCTGCCCTCAGTGTCCCTGGGTTCAGACATTTGCAAAACTTGGCACATTTCTTGCTTCTGGCTCATCTGAGGAGCTGTTGCAGTGCTACTCAGCAGAGATTGGACAGATTTCTTAAGCTGGTAGTAAGAAGCTGTAACAGGTTAGCTGCCATTGCAGCACCTGCTACTGTGATCACACACTTTTTCCATACCTTCCCTACTTCTCTGTTCTCTGAGGGTGAGTCCATAAGCAGGTCTGGGGCAAGGCACACCAGGAAATTCAGCTCCTCCCTTCTGCAGCATCAAATAAATGTCAAGTTTCCAAGAAAAAAAACAAGCCTTAATATTTGGTTGGATATCTGTTTCATTGTATATTATGAAGTTAGAATTAGTCTAGTTCCTGTTTCTATTTGGGTTTGTTTAATCTGGGCTCAAACCAACTTTTTTTATGGTAAATGACAATAATAAAAGCTGGATACAGAGGAGCTCCTTTATTTGTGAATCTTCCCAGTATTACATGCCCAACTGGGTATCTATTTTACTTCAGAGGATTTTATTTGCCCTCATCTGACACAGGTTCACCAGAACAAGTTGTAAGTTGTAGAGCTGTATGAAGCTGTTTCTGCAAAACCTCCTATGTGGAATATTTCTAAAGATCATTGCAGTTCTTTGACACTTTGGAGGCTAACAAACTTACAAGTGCTTTGCAAGTTCAAGGCAGACAAATGTCAGGGAGTTGGATCTACCCTTGGAGGACTTAAAGATATTAGTCGCTGAAGATAGCACCAAGAGAAAAGCCTTGGATTTCTCTACTGTTTGGAAAAAAAGCTGAAGGAGACAAAAAAAGATTAATTTTAATTGGGCCAAATATAAGTTAAAAAAATTCTCTAGTTATTTTTTTTGTTTGTTTGTTTTTAATCTAAATTAAAGAAAATATATCTTACAAAGTGCAGTGTTAAGAGACCCTTATGACTCTAGCTGGTCCTGAGTATGTCAGAGCCAAAGGTGATGTTTTTATTTTGTTTTATCAGAGAGCACCCTTGGCATCTCTTTTCCATAGTGCTCCAACCATTGATTAAAAACAGTCTTTCCACCCTAGGAAAGAAAAGAACAGGAAATTTGTTTAAACAGGGTCATTTTTCAGCTCTTGAATTATCTAAGAGAAAAACAGACTGCATATCAACCCAGTCAACAGTGCAATGCAGTTTTTGAACAAACAAGAAGGTGCTAATTTCTGACTGGGAAGCAGGATACCCTGCAGGATCTATGTATACTAATATAAATGATAATGTGGTAGATGGCCCTTACATAGTAAATTATTTTTGATATTAGGGGCTTGAAATTCTTCTGGCATTCACACTCAGAGGCTTACAGCCAGAAAAATACAGCATGTCTTGCTCAAAATAGGAGAAGACACTTAGTCATGCTTTTCTCTTGAACTTTCTTCACACAGGAAGATAAAAAATAGACAAAGTAATTCTGATTATCCCCACTGGGCAAGATAGGAACCTTTGACTAATAGTGTCCTTTGAGCACTCTCACATCTACACAGGCTTCCTACCCATGCTTTTTTAAACATCTCAAAGACTCACTTAATTTCCCTTTCCCCACATTTTGCTGGAAGGATGAGAGAATTTCACAGATCTTCAGAAATCTTGTTCATTGAATTAACTCTAACAAATGAACTATTGAGACTGTTCTATTCTTTTAAAGAAATACATCTCTAAATGATAAAACAAACAAAGATCTCGTTAGCTTTGGAGTATTCCAGCTGAAATTGTATGGGAATCTTTTATGCCTTTCTTGGACATTCATGTAGCAGTCTCAGATACCTGCCATGCTCACCTTTGTAAAAGTCAGTCCTTACTTATGAAGGAATTTGGCTATGTGATACTCTCTGATGAAGCAGACAGAACTGTTACAGAGTGTGTTTACAGGGTTTGAAACCTTTGTTGTATGCCCATGGGATGGTGAATTTAGCTGTGTGTATTAATTTCTCTATGTGCATACATCTCTGTCGCATGCAAAATGTCTCTGAAATCCTTATCTAGATACCCAACCCAGTGTATGTAAGACTTTCAGCTAGAATCTATTCTGCACTCTAACAGGATTTGGTCATGCTCCACTAAATCAGTGACAGCCTTCAAAGCATGATTGGTTAAATCTGTAGAGTTATTATTTGGAGCTCTACACATAATGTTTACAAGCTGTTACATCTGAGATGTCATATATGGATCAGACAATCAGTTTGCTTAGCAGTCCCTATTCCAACAGTCTGTCCCCAGACTTCTTTCTGTGGCTTCTTTAAATGCGTGATTGCTTCTAAAATTATGCTGTTAGTTGGAATGTGAAAAGCAGAATTAAAAAGAAATGTGATGCAGAGCGCTATGAGACACTATTGACATTCTTCCACTCAATTCTGCAAGCCCTTGTAGGATCTCAAATCTTTAATCTTAGAAACCTTAAGACCCAGTAGAAGGAGCTGTAGCTCCTTTTACACATTTCCACTGACAATCAATCCTTGGATGGAAAAGCAGAAAGGGAGAAACACTGTCACTGTGGACAAGTCTAATGGAAGGGCTTACTCACTGTCAGCATGACTATGCAGAGTCCATCGGAAAAATTTCCAGTTCCAGGTAGGTAAGCCTCATTGCTGATGACAGAACTGCTGGACTGCAGCATTGCACAGCTGTAATGCTTTATGTAAACTGACTGTTTTGATCATTACCACACAAATTGGATTAACATCTGTAGTGAGCTCTCAGTGATTGACTGTTTAAAGAACTTATTTTGTATACATTTATAAAATTAGAAAACCTACCATTTTTATGGGATTAGGCAATACAATGTTTAGGAATCATCTGGGGGTGTGAGTTACAATTATCAATTTGTATGTATACATATATATAATGAATAATTTATTAGTTTTAAGTGTATATATACATTTTTGTATATCAAACACAGATCAAGCTTCTGGCTAAAATCTTTGCAGAATGATGTAGGAAGGTTCTCAGTGCAGGGCTGGAGTTGGTTGTCAATTTCTAGTTTTCTGATGTGATCCTCTTCTCTGAAATGTAATCCTAATTAGGGGACACATTTTTATAAGTGAAATAGTCTACTCAAAGTTGGTTCTATAACACCAAAATAAGACTGACAGAAGCAATTTACTGATGCATAACAAATTCACACATCATACAAAATATGATGCAAAGGTAATGTTTTAAGAATCATCTTTCTTTAAATTCAGGAAGCATGCAATACATAGCACATGTATCCTATTCCAAAGAGACTTTTATTT